AATCCAAGGGCTCAAAGCAACAAAGAGATGAGAGCATGGATTGAGGGATGAGAGAGACTGGAAAAGCAGGACGGATAACAGCCAACAGCCTGTGGTTCAGGAAGTCTCAGTGTGAGTCAAGTCACGCACAAGTGTGTGTGTGTGTGTGTGTGTGTGTGAATAGAGCTGTAATGAATCTGTAAATGGATGTTTAAATATGTATAGAAGTTATTTGGTACGAATGAATGACTAATCGGTCAAATATGACTGGATGGTGTGATGGACATATTCTAAATGGAAAGTCAAATCCACTGTGATTAAGGTATCAGTCTCTAAAAATACACACGGATACACATCGGTAAGCACACATGATACCCAGAAATCTGTGCAGCTATAAATACCCTATTCAAAAGTGAGCATCCCTCTGCCAGACTCACTCTGTAGTGCAGAACAATTGAAGTGAAGGGATGTGACGGGTAGGGTTTCAGGGCATTGCTGTCTCATATTTTGTGATCCCTTCCCTTTATGATGGGATTCAGTTGCTTTTGTTGGGAATGACTCTACAGTAGTGCATCCTTCAAAAAAAAAAAAAAAAAATGCAATGGAATAGAATTTGCCCTATATGCATGTTCAGTCACCTCACCATTGGATAAAATTAAATGACAATTTTATAAATATATAATCTAAAGAACAGTAGTGACAGCAGTTATAATGAAACTTACCAACTCATACATAAGTGCGCCATGTATATGCACCATTTGCTCCATATATATTAAATTAGGGCTGCAACTGATAATACTTGTTTAATTTGTTGACATTGTCATCTAAATAATATTTTTTTTTACTTCAAACAGGTCTAAAGCACACTGTGCACACTAAACCAGTAAAAAAAAAAAACGTAACTCTAAAATTTGATTTGAATGACACTAATGTGGAATCTACGTACGTGTCACGAATCCTGTCCATGGACTTCCATCCGCTCGCCACCAGAGATCGCTCTTCCATTACATTGACTCTCACACTACACAGACTGTTACATGTCACTCTGGACTACAGTTCCCATCATCCATTGCACTGATTACACACACACAGCTGTAACCAATCACACATTCGCTATATAACACCCACTCAGATCCTGCTCAAGTCACCGAGTATTGTTTAGCGTTTATCACTGTTTAGTTGATAGCTACTTTACGGAGCCTGTTTATTGATTTCCTGTTTCATAGTCTAGCCTAGTCCTGTCATAGTTTTGCCTTGCCTGCTTTCCCGTGTTACCTGATTTTTGCCTGTTTATCTTGGATTAACCCTTTGCCTGCTGTTTCGGACTGTGTTTGCACCTCGCCTGGACTACTGCTTGTGTTTTTGGATTTCCCCTCTTGTCAAGCCCTCTGGATAACGTTCGCTGTCTACTGACTCACGTCCGGTTTGGATTACTCTTTTGTCTTGCCCTCTATATACCTGTTTGCCATTGCCTGACCCTCGCCTGTTTTGACCACGCCCTTGATAAAGCTTGCAAATGGATCCGTACGTCTCACGTCTTGTTTGCCCCGTAACAGTATGATGGATTTACACTCTAAAAAGGAAACTCTGCAGTTCTTGCCATACAGGGCTATTTCTACTGGGTTTGGCTCTTAAAAATCACATTTATTGGTGTAGCATAATGTGGCCATAATATTTCAATCCCATTGAATAATATTTTTCACTTGCATGAAATAAGTTAAATTAGATGTCACAGCGTAAAATGCATTTTTTTCGTAATCTGACAAAAACATTTCTTACACTGTATCCATAAATAATCACTGTGAACTGTAACAGCACAGCCAACTGTCTGCTACACATCTTACGTTGTCTATTTCAAGACACCTTTTGCTGAACACTAGATTGTAAATGATACAGCTGTTTAGAACATAAACCAGTTGCCCACATCCCCAACTCCCTTCCCTAAATCAGAATTGAATTGAAAACTGCCTCCAATAAACTTTGAAGTACTGCAAAATAAATGATCAGTTAATTATGAGAGGATTTATTAGGTAATAATATTAGCTCATGAGGAAAAAAAATTAACTTAAATGATTTTAGCAAATGGCTGCAATATAACAAAGAGTGAAAAATTTAAGGGGGTCTGAATACTTTCCGTACCCACTGTACATCAGGCAGATACCTTGATTTGTTACAAATATGCTTGCTAATTACGCTTTTAGAAAATGTACAAATCCAATTTAAGTTCATGTAATTCCAAGTGCTTCATATACTGTATGTAATATTTTCAATAATGTAAAGATGCATGCTAGTACGCATCATGCCCCATTGAGGTATGTAAAACATGCATTGTCTTTTGTTGCATGAAGCATTCTGTGCTCTCTTGTCTTCTACAAGATGAACAACATCAGTTTCAAATTAAATGACTCTTAAACTTTGTAGAATTACCAATTAACAAATAGTTTTGAATCTAATCTCATGCAATGTCTCATTGGCTCATTGGAAATATGTGCCTCTACCTACATTTTTGCAAAATTAAAAAACTTACCTATACATACAAATCGCTCCAATCCTTTTCACACAAAGCATGGTTTACAGGGCCAGAGTTTTGATTAAGAAAGCCTAATTCTCACACCATTCCATGCACAATATTATTTTATGACTTTAAAACAATTTTAACATGCTGCGAGATTTGAAAATAATTGCAGCGTCATTGCTATATGGTTGTTCTGTGAGGGAAAAAAGCACACCTTCAGGTCTCCTACAATATTCTGGTCTCTAAATATGTCTAAATAAATATTCCTCCTTCAGTGGAAGCCAAATGGCTTTTCACCTGTTTTATCAACCTATGGCTAAACATCTGAAGTTTGAACTCTAAAAAATTTAAAAGTACAGGTATCATTCATGTTCGTAGCACAAAAAAAGAGCCTTGTGTTGAAACGCTAAGGGTCTTTTTGTGGCAACCACCCTCCATAATTACACAAATTCATTAACCTCCTTGTAACAGCTCACATCAGAAAACTACCCACATCACCTCAGTAATGCCAAACATAATGAATGAAACAGTCCCTTGAGGCATACGCTGTCAGGCGTAGTGTAATTCACCATTGGCTGCCAAGCAGCCTGCGCTCACTGAAGTGTGAGTGTGGGGGCAGTGACTGGTGAATGAGATCTGATCAGGGAAATCATTATTCAGCCTAACGGCACATCTATGAAAGTGTCGCTCAATTTCTGGCCAGCCAAATTAATGCCAGAACTGTCAATGGCAGGAGGAAATGCATGGCAAATACCAACCTCTTATCATTTGGTCTCATGAATGGAATGGAGAAAGACAAATTCTGTTGCCATGGAATCAATGTGTATTCTAGGGTCTAGTGTAGCAATGAACCAGACCCTGCTGGATGAGGAAGAGTTGACCATTACATCATAGCTTTGGATGGTCGTGACCTATAATGATCATATGATAAATGACGCACTGTCAGTAGGTGAGTCACCAAAAACCTGAATGCTAAGCATCGGTAGATGGCTGTTTGGATGTCTAATACCATTTCACACCCAATGTCTCCTGGCTGACTGCCTTAATGTACACTGCTTGACAGTGTTTGTCTTTAAGATAATTTCATATGACAGGCTGAAACTAATTAGTGTGTTTTTTAGAAAACTGCATTAGAGATTTAAGTACAGGGCACTGCGGACAAAACGCTGCAAACAGAAAAATGACGCCTCAAATAATGTCAGATAAAACCACAATTAGCTTTAACAAGCATCAAACAATACATCTTTAAAGAAAGATGCAAAAAAATATTTTTTAGCTAAATCTGGCAGGACATTTGTGTCCAAAATACAAATGAAGAAGAGAACGTGAGGGGCTAAACTGGAAGAAAAAATAGCATCACCCGAGCAGGCGATGTCACTTGAGGTCTCACAAGCTTCAGTGGTTCAAGCATTGGATCTACTGAAGCTTGAGATTGACCAATAGGCGCTCATGATGACCACAGGATTAACTAAAAGCTCAGCCGCTAGGTCATTCTCTCTTCACCATAAGCCACCATTATGGACCGATAACGCCATACAGTAGTGGTTCTTAATCCTGGTCCTGGGGACCCACAGAACTGCACATTTTGTATGTCTAATGCGCCTGAATCGAATCGTCAGCTCATTAGTAGAAAGCTTTATGGACCAAGCTTGGTGTGTCAGATAAGAAAGACAAAATGTACAGTGCTGTGGTCCCCAGAAACAGGATTAAGAACCACTACAAAGGAATTCTTGTAATCCACCAATGCATGCCATTTTTTCTTGTATTTTCAATTTTTGCATTTGGATCATTATGGGTTTTGATAATTAACTTGTATCTGATACTTTGGAACAATCTGTGCTTTTGTTCAATCAAACAGTCTCTGTGATGCCAGTTTTATCATTTGCCACAATTGCCAGGTGAAAATAATTTATAAAGCACATTGCTTTAGCACATTGCTTAAGTAGTACTTACTGTTTAAATACTACTTTATAAGCCACATGGTTTGAAGTATCATTTATGTCCAGGTTTCGACAACCTGATCTCATGGAAAACGTATCTTTTTTACAAAATGGCGATTTCATATGAATTTGTACAATGTGAATTCTATGAAAACGTACAATTTTTAGAAAAAAGCATGAAGGTCCACCCTTAACCCCACCCCTAAATGAAACCGCAATGAAACAAATGTACAAATGAGATCATACAAGTCATACAAATCAGTCACCAATTTGCTAAAATTTTACAATTGTTACAAATTGCCATGACATTGTTTGGGTTTAAAACATTCTATTCCTAACTAAGGCAGACACTGAAACTGACATGCTGGGCTGCGCAAACAAACAGAGTAACAGTGTTTACACTTTTCAGACATTCTTAATTGCAGTTTTCTCTACACATTAAACTGGGAGAGGAGAACGTATTTAACATTTAAAAAATAAATTATTAGAACCTGATAATAGGTCGTAGTTAATTATTACTTTGAGAGAACTGAACCAGATCATTGCATTGATTTCGCATTTCTTACCTTCCAATCATTGTAGAGTGCTGCTGCACAGCGGCCTCCAGGAGGCGCTCTAAAATGGTCCACTCTCCCATGGCTGGGTGCTGAAGACATCAAGGGATCACTGGACACTATAATGGACCCCCACCGATCCTTCACATAGACCTCCAAAGAAACTCTACAGTCTTCGTGGCTTTACACTTTGAGGTAGTCAGCAGCAACAGAGATGCTTTGGTCCTACAAATAGTTCCGTTGATGGCTCAAGAAGACACGTGCTCCCATGGTTTTGCCTTATTTGCCTTCAACAGTCTCTGTTTATTGGTTTGCTTTCCTTCGTTGGGTCTGAAGTACTCAGACGGCAGTTATCAGAGAGCTGTGCTTGTCCCTGAATGCCCTGGCATCCTCAAGTGCTTCAGCTATCTGCACTATCTTTTCCCTTTCCTCAAGCAACTCTCCAGCTGCACAGTTTTCTCATCTAAACCCGCACACTCACAAACAAGCTGCACCTAGCCCTTTTGTTCACCAATAAACACACACTCTCTAACACACACACACAATCGTTCTCGTCTTGATCTCTCATAATCCACCAAGCACGTTTTCCAGGCAGTACTGGTAGCACAATCAGACCCGCTCACGCAAACACACTCCACGCTGCGATTTAAGCACCGCCAGTTGCACATCACAAACACATTTGGGCAAATCAGTCAGTTTCCACACTTTCTCTCTGCTTCCTCACTGTTGCGTCCTAATGACTCTTTCTAGCCTTCGCTGTATTTTCCTGTTTTCTCCTCCACCAGCTCAGCTTCAGTGCCTTTCCTGCATTTTCCCCCCACTGTCAGTTTTCTCTTCCCCAGCTCACTCGCTCGCTCTGCCTCCCTCTGCCCCTGCTGTCACTATGAGCCGCTGTCTCGCCACACTCTCATTTTCTGCTTTCCGCTCCCTCCCTCCACTCTTTTCGCCCTCTGTTCTCTCTGTCACTCCTGATAAGTTTGCCGCCTCCCCCCCCCATCTCTCTCTCTCTCTCTCTCTCTCTCTCTCACACACACACACACACACACACACACACACATATGCAAGTCAGTGTTCTTAAATTGTTGCACGAGTCACTGCTTCAAGCAGTGGCGCCAACTGATGGCATCCTTTATTTAAACAGTTCCTCTTTGAATTAACCCTGTTCATTCACCTTTCACTCTATAAGCCTCTTTCTCTGTCTCTCATGGGCACCTGGCTTGTGCGTGTGTCCAGAGGATTAGTGCGAGCAATCATCACACTACCCCTCCTCTCCTTTCCTCTCATCCAAACACCACACAGCCAACCGAACTCTTCTTTTTATCGCAAATCCCAATCCCGATTTTGTCTGTCTCTCACAAAAGAGGAAACAGCGGTGTAGCATAACAAAATAGTGTGCTTTTCATTTTTTAGACCTCCAAAGACACACATTTACTTTACAGAGTACCTTTACACAACAGTTAAATCACCTTTACACAACAGGGGTGCGTTTCCCAAAAGCATCGTTAGCTAACTATGGTAGCTAGTTCCATTGAAATCTATTGGTAACGACAGAACTTGCGACCATAGTTGCTTTTGGGAAACGCACCCCTGATCAGTTTTACAAAACAACATATTTACAACACCTTAACACAACAGAACACATTTGAACAATTGTCCACCACCTTTATGTAAAAGGTTTACACAACAGAGCAGCTCTACACCTCATTTAATTTACAGAGTACCTTTACACAGCAGATCAGTTTTACAAATCAGAACAGATTTACAACACTTTTACACAAAAGAACAGCTTACTATGTACACATTTGAACAATTGTATTATGTAGCAGAGCAGACTTACACAACAGAGCAGCTCTACATCACATTTACTTTGCAGAGTATCTTTACACAACAGAACAGCTTTACTCCACATTTACTTGATCGAGCAGCTTTGCACAACAGTTACACCACCTTTACAGATTCGTTTTACAAAACAGAGCAGATTTACAGAACAGTTTAACATGTACACATCTGAACAATTTTACACCAACTTTATGTAACAGAGCAGACTTACACAACAAAGGCTCTCTACACCACATTTACTTTACAGAGTACCTTTACACCACAGTTACACCACCTTTACACAACAGATCAGTTTTATAAAACAGAGCAGATTTACAACAACTTTACACAACAGAACAGCTTAACGTTCACATTTGAACAATTGTACACCACATTTAAAGCGGTGTAAAATAAGTATTGAACACGTCACCCTTTTTCTCAGTAAATATATTTCTAAAGGTGCTGGACAGACAGACAGACAGACAGACAGACAGACAGACAGACAGACAGACAGACTGACTGATTGATTGATTGATTTTAAATACAGCGGGTAAAATAAGTATTGAACACGTCACGATTTTTCTCAGCAAATATATTTCTAAAGGTGCTGTTGACTTGAAAGTTTCACCAGATGTCGGTAACAACCCAAGTAATCCATACATACAAACAAAACAAAACAAAACAAATAAGTTCAGAAATTAAGTTATGTGTAATAAAATGGAATGACACAGAGAAAAAGTATTGAACTACTGAAATTGATTTAAGTAAGCAATAAGGTACTGTCAGTGTTGTGGACTTGTGTTTCCTTGTTTTACCCCTGTCTTAGTTCCTGTTTTCCTTTTTTGGTCTTGTTTCCTGTTCCTGTCTTCATTGTGTTAATTTGGTTCCAGCTGCGTTTTCCCTCATGTCGTCATGTTCATTAATTCCAGGTGTTCCCTCATTAGTTTCCTTGTCTACTTAAGACCTGCCTTTCCCTGTGTCTAGTGTCAGCTGTTAAATGTCACCCCAGAGTTCCTGTGTTTGTAAACCTTTGCTTGTGGGATTAAAATCTAAATTGAAGAATTCTCCTGTGTTTCCTCGTTCCTTCCCCGAGTGATCGTGACAGGTACGAGTGGCCATGCTGTATCAGGGCTGAAGGGCGTTGTTAGGCATGACACGAAGGGAGTGCCTGCAACCCCTTCAGCCGTGATTTATTCATGATACAGCATGGCCTCGAGTACCTTATTGTTTTTATAAAACGGTTAATACACAATAAAAAAATATTAAAACCAAAAATGTATGTATTGAAATGTAACTTTTTTTGAAGCAAGTTCATTAAAAGCTGTCCTTCCGCTAAAAAATAGTTCCTGACAACAGTAAACGGCAAGAGAATGTTCCGAACATGCCTCATCTAATGGAGCTTAAATAAAAACAGAGAATATGAACTCGTTTATCCGCTGTCATTTATTTTTTTAACACCATATATGATATTTTCTCACACACATACATCTGCTTATCTCTCAGCATGAGAAAACATCTGTGCTTGTTTTAGTTTTAAAACAGACCGAATCGTGGCACAGCGCAAGTTTGCAAGCGTCATTACAATGTAAACTGATGGACATACAGAATCATACCTGAAACAGAAAACTAATAAATTCAGTAATATTCCCTCCTCACTTCGGAAATGCTAGTTACGTATGTAACTGTGGTTCTGTGAATTCCAGATGACTGCCAGAGGCGGTGCTAAGCACTAGTGGATAATCGCTGCATCAGCTAGATAGGTCGAGAAAAAAATAACAAAGTCATGACGTCGACTGAGATGTGAGGATATAAATCACAGCAGCTCGGTGCCCAGCTTCGGAATGCGCGAGAAAGCATTTCGAGGCTGGGCATCAAACTGCTGTGGTTTATATCCTCGCATCTCGGTCGACATCACGACGTGACTTTGTTGTTATTTTTTCGAAGATCTCTGGCGGTCATCCGGAATTCACAGAACCACAGTTACATACGTAACTAGCATTCTGTTTCATTCCTCCTGACCACCAGATGCGGTGCTAAGCACTAGTGGATGACACATACCAACACAGTCATGATGAATGCCACCCACCTGCAAACATCAAGGATCTTCCAGGACTGCAGAACTCACATCATGGGAAGCAGCCACGTTGACCTTGTAGAACCGCACAAAGGTACATGGAGAGGACCAGGTAGCAGCTGCACAGACTTCCGCCAAGGAAACTCCCCGTAAGGTGGCCCAAGATGAAGAGACAGTCCTAGTAGAGTGACAAGTAACACCCACTGGTAAATGCTGGTTAGAATTACTATATGCTAGCTTTATCACCTCAACAATCCAACGTGATAATCTTTGCTTAGACAAGGGGGCGCCCTTGCGTACCTCACCATAATGGACAAATAACTGATCTGTCTGTCTAAAAGGAGCAGTAAACTTAACATAGCACCTCAAAGCTCTTACAGGACAGAGAAGATGAGACCTCCTCCCACCTGCATCGGAAGGAGAAAGAGGAGGTTGAAAAGAAGTCAAATGAATAGACTGATTCACAAATTGTGGCGACAAGACCTTAGGGAGGAAGGCTGGATTAGGCCTAAGAATGACCCCAGAATCCTCTGGTAACCAGCGTAAGCACAGTACACTCACTGACAGGGCATGAAGCTCGCAAACGCATTTAGCAGAAGCAATGGCTAACAGGAAAGATACCTTTAAGGACAACCACTTAATATCCACAACATCCAATGGTTCAAATTGCGGTGTGCAAAGAAACGCCAGAACAAGTGGCAAGTCACAAACAGGAAAAGGAGTAGAACAAACAGGCTTTAGACGTCTTGCTCCCTTCAGAAAACTACATACAAGGTTGTGAGACCCCAAGGATGCACCATCAACATTATAAGTAGATATGGCAGCAACATAAAGCAGGTCTCGTCTGATGGGAAGCTGCCATGGTTCACCCTGTAACAGACTCAGAACAAAAAATGTGTTATTTAACACACATACTTATTTACATTTCAAATTTGCACATATCATACCTGTACATACAAAATTGTCTATATTATATATTGTGTTTTTGCTTTTTTGTACATTGTCTATTTTGTCTATTTTTATATTAATATTTTTATTATCTGTGCCCTGTCTTGTCACTGCCATTCTGTTGCACTGTGGAGCTTCTGTCACTAAAACAAATTCCTCGTATGTGTAAACATACCTGGCAATAAAGCTCATTCTGATTCTGATTCTGATTCTGATTCTGAAGAGGAAACCATAGTCTGGCTGGCAAATGAGGTGCCACCCGTCGGCCCTGAGACCATCTGAGGATCTTGCGGGTTAGCTGTAAAGATGCAAGAGACCTGGTGCCACCCTGGTGATTCAAATGAAAGACTGTCGACGTGTTGTCGGACCGGACAAGCACATGGCGGCCTAACAGATCTGGTAGGAAGTGTTGCAGTGCTAGATACACTGCCTTCAGTTCTAGAACGTTGATATGTTCTAAGGCCTCCTTTGCTGACCAGTGACCACCAATCCCCCTCTGGTTCCATGTTGCCCCCCATCCTGTTACCGAAGCATCGGTTGTGATCACTTCTTGACGAGAAGGCACCAGCCCCTAGTGGCACTCCAACACTCAGAAATGTTACCCGTTTCCAGGGTTTCAGTGTTCGGACACAAGCAGGAGAGACAACAATCATGTGACAACGATGTCTCATTGAGCTTAGCCCTAGGCTGTTGCTCCACCTCTGTAGGGGCCTGAGGTGTAGCAACCCTAAGGGAATCACAGATGTGGCAGCAGCCAACATCCCCATTAGTTGTAGAAGGACACCATAAGGTATCCTTGCTCCCAGGCGGAAACGAGTCAGTAACTGAAAAATACTGTCTGTCCGAGT